AATATTGGTATCTTGTGCAGTCAGCCGTCCGTGCACTACCAAAAAAGGTATTGAGCAGCACTCATGTCTTGGAGTAGTTTCAGGTAAATAAGAATGGATGAACAGATATTTTCGTGCATCTGTGTTTTACTGAAGGTAGTATGTATACTTAAAACATACAGTCCAATAAGTTGAGCACAATTAACACACAGTGAGAAACATGAACAGATGCCTATTCTCCCTGTCATATGAAAAGGTCATCACGTCCAATCTGAAATTTTAATTGAATAATCTATGTAAAGAAAACCATAAACATTTGAACATTTGTCTAGAATTTCTGTGGCCTTCTTTTTTTTTTTTTTTTTTTTTTTTGAAACTGTGTATCTCAAATGTGCACTGATTTCCATTTGTGTTTCACCTGCAAATATTTCTGTCAGTCCGGGAGCGCATTTTCAGCTGTGTAGATAATATTAATGATTCTGTCCTGTGCTTTAAGTGTTCAGTGTCAGATTGGATGGGGCTTTGAACAATCTGTTCTAGTGAAAATTATCCCTGACCATGACATGAGAGTTGTAATTAGGTGATTTTTAAAGGTGTCTTTGAACATAAACCATTCTGTGATACAGTCTGTGATTCCTAAGAGTCCAGCTGAATTCAAGAGTGATATCCACATTTTTGGTGTGGGACATGTTCATTGCTCTTAGCTGCATGATCCTGCATCTAGTCACCAAGTGAATCTTTAGCAAACGGGGTAACTTTTGCAGATAAGTGTAAAACACAGGTTTCCAGAGTGCATATTCTATTCCACAAGTGGTTTCCTAATTCTAATACTACTGTAATAGAACTGACTTCTCCTAAGTTTATGGTGGGGAAGTACATTAAATTCCCATTGAACACATTAAATCATATTTAATTTACATGGCTTTAATTGCCATGTGTCCTAAACATTCATGTGTGAAGGAGCAAGCAATCATGTCAGCCCTGTCGTGAAAGGTTTTGTCCTGAGGGATATATTTCTGGAATTGCAATCATTAAAGAAATTATGACTACATGTTTTTAAGCTTGCTATTACTTGACTACAACCTAAACTAGAAATGTTATAAAATTACAAATTTTGATCAAGATCTTACAAGTTTCTAAAGTTCTTGGCCTTTCTTGCTTGGTTTCATGAGCTGATTGAGGAGATTAAAAAATTAAATATTGCTTTACGTTAAAAACATGTACTTGGAAAAATCTGTGTCATTTTCAGTAATATCTTTTTTCTGATGTGTGGCACAGAATGCATATGGATTAGCTATATATATTGCTATTAAACCTCTCGAGTTTTCCTTTTTCCCCTTTTCCTTTGTAGCCTTGGATATACATAAAAAGGAGACATTAGCTGTAAGCTGTCTCTCCTAAAACTCCTATTTAGTTTACCATGTACTTGTATTCTTAACTATGGGGATATGTATTCATATTTTAATATTGAAAAAACACATCTCTAAATGCATCTAATGCATCTCTAAATAACTGATGGATGCATTTTTCTTGGAATACTCAGAAGACTGTTTTGTTTTTCTCTGTGCTGTTTTGTTGCTTATATTCTGTTTTAATTCAAAACATTTCCCTTGCTGTATATATTGGAGTGAGTGCTTATCAAAGCATAACTTCAGCTAATGACACTACAGCTGTCATAAGAAATAATTCAGTTGCAGCTTTAAATAGCAGTATATTTAATATATCCATAGAGATCAGTACAAATTGCTCATGATTTTTCTCTGGTGTGTATATAAACCCAAAGCTTTATGAGCTTTTTCTGTAACTCTTAGCCAGTAGCAGTCATGGGGCAAATTAATTTTCATTTCCAACAGAAGATTTTGCTGCTGGGGTCATACTGCATTACTTGTGATCACATCTATATTTTGTGGTTATAAATACATTGTATTTGTGAAAAGAGATATGTGAATGAAGTATAAGATCTGACAAAATAAAGCCTGTACACTGACCCATGTGAATTGATTTAATGTGTCTCGGAAAACCTTGAGATACAAAATCATGCTCACAATGCATTGCATCCTAAATGAAGCCAGTTACTTCCAATTTAAGACTATGTTCCATGCATCTCCAAAGAACTGCTTCATTTGTTTGTTACTTCATCAAATTTTAAGTGTCATTATGAGAAGTGAACATTTATAGATCTAGTGGCTACCTCAGATTGTGGAGTTTGGGTTGTTGAGGTTTGGGTAGGATTTTTTTTTCCTCTTTGTTGTGGTTTATCTATATCCAAGAATTGTATTGGGGAAAAGAACCAGCCTGGGTCTGTGTAAAGTAATGTGTTCATCTTTTTTCACTGAAAAGCTGTAACACTTATGTAACTTAAGAATCAAGTAAGGAAATAAAAAGTATTTTTCAGAGCAGTACCCATTTGTACCTAAGAAAAACCCAACCCAAATGATACTACAAGACCTTACGTATTTTCTAAGGAACAGTATAATAAATACATGAGATTAGCCTCTATAGAAGATTATTTGATTTTAGCAGCTAAATTCTTAGTGTAGTGGCAGGTTACTACATCCTAGCAGGCAGGAAGGAGGAAAGGTGGAGACTAAGATGGCCAGTACAGCACTCTGCAACTGCTAGTAAGTACTTTGTGGGTTCAAGTGACAAAAGCTTGTGCAGGAAAGCTAAATAGCTAAATTTGCCAGCCTATTTTTGACCTGAGTATCTGGTTTCATATGAAGAAATTCTTATGTAGTTGTTTCTTTTTAGTTTTTCTTTTGTCTGTTTTATTCCATCTTAAACCTGTAAAAATGCATTTAAAAACTGCATTAGGTAGAAGTTTTCATTGTAACTGCAGCCATTAGGCCCAATTCACTGATAAAGAAATACTAGAAATGACACTAGATGATACTAGTCAATGATGGGTGATACTACTTTAGCTGTGTAACTTTTTTCATCCCAGTTATCTGTGTGTGTAATACAGGTGATAGTTATGCCATCACATTTCATGCTTTGCAAATATTAGTAAAGTGTGCTGTGGAAATGAACCTGCTTTCTGTGGTGATACCTTCCAATTCCTGTCGTTCTCCTCTCCTTTTTATTTGTTGCAAAGCTTGAAACTGTGAATGAAGGAAAGGGAAGGATATCTGGGTAGATGCTTTCTTTGAGATTTAATTTCTCTTGCAGCCTCTGACACAGGTTATCTGTGTGAGAAGGAGATAATAATTTAAACCAAACCTTCTACAGCTGTCCTTTGATTAAGTATATTCATTATTTTGGGAATCAGAGCCTAGGCTTCTGGAAATGCTGAGCATTCTCACAGCAGAAGTCCCTAGGAAGTCTATATGGGGCTATGCAATGCTAAACACTTAGAAAAATTTGGCCTGTAGGAAAACCAAATTAATAAGTACTATATCTCATAGTTACTTAATCTCTCCTTTTTAAAATGGGGTAATACTATGTCTTCATTCTTCCTGTCAAAGAAATTACGTGTTTGTGAATCTTTTGCATGCTGTAGTGATGAACATTGCAGAAAAACACACAAGAAAAATATGATGCTGATTTTCAAGAGAGATAAATTACAGGAAGCCATGCCTGAAGTAATGGCAGTAAAACACCACTGAATTAAGTTTTAGATTGTGAGAAGGAAGGAGTTTGTGGGTATTAAATTAAGAACTGTATCATAAGGTCTACAAAGGGGGCTGAAATATGACTTCATGACCAAACTTTTACTTCTGAACTCATGAGCACTTTATTTTGTGGCCTGCATATTCTTGTCATGGGGCATTGCAGGCATGTGGAATTACACCAAAAAATGTGCAGATTATTAATCTTTCAGATATATTATGTTGTCATACTAATTTATTCCTAATGTGTAGAGAATACATAACATATTGAATAAGAGATGTACTGAGATCCATTTTCCCTCCTATCAATAGCATGAAAAACTTTGTACCTTCAAATTTTAGTAATGTATGTCTGTTCAGCATTGTGCTTTATTTATTTTTGTGTATATGTACTTCCCTAACATCAATTTTTGCGAGATGGACAAGCGTTTCAATTCCTGGTCGTCTTTATTTACTCTAAATTGCATATGCATACCATTATTACATTTTGAGTTAGAAAAGCTGAACTTTAATAAAAGACAAAAAAGAGAAACTTTTGAAAAGCTATATTAAGTTTTAGAGAGTCAAAAGCTAAGATATATTACACGTGAATAAAACTTACTGGAGAATATATTTATATCTATCTGTATATTCATATTTAGCTTGGTGCTCTGCAAAACACCTTACCTAAAGTCTAGATTTAAATTATTATGAAAATAAAGAAGATATTTCATTCACTTGTTGATAGCAGTTCCTTTGTCAAAGTTAGCTGAGGCTCTTCTGTCATGGTGGTTGGGTTATTTTTGTTCTTTCATGGCTGCATAGCAATATTTTAAAAAATTTCTATTCATTTTATGTTTTTTCAGCTGTCGTGACTGGTTGTCTTGTACCATTCCCCTTGAGTGTATGTGTGTATTTATTTTTTTAAACAATAACATTATATATCCAGATAGGGGTCCCATTAACTTTTTCACTAGAAATTGGCAAAAATTTGCATCAAAGGGTTTAGTTTCATAAGTGATATTTTTTGTTGTTATTGAGCAGTGGTTGAGGGTTTTCTCCTTTTCACCATATTGTGAATTTGTCACCACTTTGCATGACTGAGCAATGCTCAGCTTCACACTTCACATTTCTGAGAGGACTTTGTGTAGTCTATATTTAAAGCAAAAAGATAAGAAAACAGATGTAAGCACTTAGGTGATGTGATTATAGGCAGAGGCGTTTGTCTGTCTCAAAGTTTTTTGTAAAAAGCATGTGAAACTCTTATTTGATTTGGAAATATCAAGGAAGAATGGCTTAAAATTTCCTTGCAGCCTTTCCTAACTAGTGGGTCCCCTATAACAGAATCAAATAAAGCTAATTTGGAAGATTCAGTTAAAATCAATATAAACTTACTGTTTTGTTGGTTTTTGTTGTTCTTGTTTCATTGAGCAGTATATTAATCAATCCTGGAAACCACGTCAAGATTCAAGAAGGTACCTTAGGATTCTTCATTGCAAGTGATGCCAAAGAAGTAAAAAGGTAATTAAAATGTTTTTATCTTTTAATAGAAACGAATATATTTAATTTCAGGGTTTTTTTTTTATTTACATGTAAATGCTTTACCTAATTTTCATTATTATCTGTTTAAAAATTCTGAGGGGAGAGTTGAATTTTTACTCCTGAACCACCTATGTACATGTTTTCCTAACTATTGTCCTAAATATCAAGGAACTGAAATTTGCAGCAGATATGAAAAGAAATAAAGAGACTGGGTTTGTGAGTCCTCCTAGAAAATGTAAAATATTTACATCTGTTTTCTCTATACATATTGTGTCTCAGAGGAATTTCTATGAGAGAGGAGGACAGGGCTGACACTTCTGTTAGTTTCAGGTTTAGAGGAGTTCTTATCTACTCAGACTTTAGCAAATTCTTGGTGCGAGTTAGCTGCTGTGTTCATTCTGTAATAGCATTAGCAAAATAATATTTATGTTCTTCTCATTTTTCTTTAATGGAACTGCAAACTCCACAACCTCGTAATAATAAATCAAACTACAAAAGTGCATTATATCCATTACAGACAACTTCACAGGCTCAATGTACCTGGCTGCGCTAGATTTGGGATGAATGAAAAGGTGTTCTATGATATAAAAAAAAAAAAAAAGGAATATTTGCAGCAGAGTGCTTCCTCATAATTTGTTATGAGTCATGCAATCAGATTTTTACTGCTGTTCTCCATGAGTTTGGTATTTTAACTAAATCCTATACTTAAAATGGTAAAATATTCAAATGATACCCTTTATTAAGTTCCAACCTTTTAGGATTAAATATAGAGAAATGAAAATACAGAGAAATACCTAACCATGCATACTTGCCATGCATACTTAAACAAAGTCAAAACACCAAACCAGTGAAATTGGAGAACTTGACTTCTATTTTTCTGGAAAGAACTGACATAGATTTTGGCTAGGTGAGACATGCAGAGCAGGGCAGCAGTGCTCCTGTCCTGTCACATCTCCAGCACCATCTCTGGAGCGTGTGCCTCCTGCACTGCCTCAGGGACTCTGCCTTGCAGCATTCCGTTCTGTTCCTCTCTGCTGCTTTTCTCCACCTGAACATCCAGAACTGTCTGCACACTGCTTTACTGAGCTGCTAGTTTTCTTTCATTTATAAGGCATTTTTTACTCTGTAATGTACTTTTTCTCAGACTAAGTAAAATGGCATAGTATTTTTGACTGGTAAAGTTAGGGAGCAGTTGACTGTTATTAAGGAGTTTAGACAAATTTTTCACATCATTCATCTACCACATTTTATTTGATAGCGATCGTGAAGCAAGATTTCCAGTTCTGCCTGGCTTTTGGCAGAAGGCTTTGTTTAGAAATATTTTGCCTCCCTTGCCACTTTTCTTAGCTGCTCTGTGCAAAGCAAATGGTTATCAGATGTGTTTCTGCTAACAAAGCCAATTATGAAAAGTGTTAATTTCACCCTTTGAGCTATGAATCAGAGTCAGAAATATCTTCTAAAATTGAGGTCTTTTGGAGGGGGAAAATTATTTTTAATAAAACATAATTAAATATGTTTTATACCTGAAATGGAAATTAAATTATTCTGGCTTTGTTAATGAAGAGATTTCAACTCCCTTAAGCTGAAGTTATTCATATTTATGTATCCCACAATGAAATATAACCTGCAGTGTTCAATTACTCCTTCTGTTAGAACCAATTTTGCATTTTTAGAAGAATCATTTTCCATAAGAAGCAATTATACCTGCAAACAGTTACGCCTTGTTAAATAGCTTCACGTAAAATGTTGCCTGTTAAATATAATACAAACTACCTGAATTGCATCTTCATTATTCCTTGTTCATTTACATGTTAGCACTAGAGTCAGAAATCCATAATTCTTCAAATCCACTTAATTTACCCCAATTATCTAGAATAATTTTATTACAACAATCACTTCAGGTATTTATTCTTTACTTTGGGCATTGGATTGAAGGTACCCTTTAGGACAATTGTCCTGCAGTGAACTTCAGAAACACGGTCTTTAGAAATCACCAATCACTATGTAATTAAGTTTTTGTGAGGGACTGTTTGTGGTACTTGATTCTTGTTTAATAAAGGGACTTTACAGCTGGGCTGAAGAGAAACTGTAAAAATTTGAGGCAGTTTTCTCCTCCTGGCTTACATCTTGACATCGACTCACAGTTTGCAAAACATTTCCTTCTTATTTCCTTGGAAGTAGTTTATTTTCTTTTGGTGGAATGTGAATATCTCGAAGACCAGAAACTTTCTGCAGCAAAGTATATGTGCTCAGAGAAGACGTTTTCCTTTTACATTTTGCATCTTGGAAATACTAAGGCATTTTCACAGCCTGAAAGCGTAATCTTCCTGTAAGTTTTTTAGAGAAATAAAATGTGCTAGGTTTAGGACTTACATATTCCATTGGTAGCTTCATGTGATATTGATTTTAGAAATGTTAATAGCATTCAGTGAGGTCTCCCTGCAATTTCAATTTGTATTTGAACCAGTATGAAGCACGGATATGGTTCATCTCTTCTGTGCTAGAGCTGCTGTCTTTCTCGCGATGGGTCACTTAACTACCAGTATAGTTCCACCTGCAGTGGCCATGCTGTAGTTCATGTAGAAGAAATAGTAGTAATCATCCTGGCTGCAGGGCCGAAGGCTGTGTTTAATCAGAGGCTGTATATAAATATTGATTTGGTTTTGAGTTTTTTTATATTTTGGATTGTAGATAGTTTTGTTTCAGGGCTTCCCAACTTTTGTAGCAATCTAATGATCTCACACTGTCAGCAAAATATATTGGTGGTTGCAAAGTGGGGGCGTTGCCTCTTACTGCCAAATTGTATTGAGAAATATGCAGTAGGAGGGGGTAGAGAAGATAGGCAGGGAGCTGACCTATCCTCAGTGTGGACAAGTGCAAGAAAAATTCGTAAGGTTAAATAATATGTTTTATTTGCTGTGCCAGCAAGAATCCTGGTAAACTGTAATTGTCTTGCTAGAGTCCAGCTGGGTGATCCTCATGAAATGTGTCATGGCAGCCTTACATGACATGTTGACTTGGCAGTCATGATTTAACTCTCCTGTGGGAAGTCTGATGCATATTTATTAAATCAGAAATTGTACAAAATCTTATATAAAGTAAAAAGTTTATCCTTTCTCACTTCCTTATTTCTCCTTGCGCTGGCATGGGGCATCCACAACTTCCCTGTGCAACCTTTCCAGTGTCTCACAGACAAGATCTTTTTCGTAGTGTCTAATCTAAATGTACCCTCTTTCAATATAAACCCATTCCCCCTTGTTCTGTTTCTACATGTTCTTGTAGGTGCTCTTGTCTCCTATTACCTGTAAGTTCTGTTTGGGTACTAAAGGCCACACTTGGGTCACACTGCTCTTTTTGAGAAGCCTGCTCTTTTCCAGGCTGAACAACCCCAATTATCTCAGCCCTTCCTTGTGGGAGAGGTGCTCTGTTTCTCTAACTGTCCTGGGGGCCTCCTCTGGACTGACTCCAACAGGTCCATGTCCTTCCTGAGCTGGATGAAGTGTTCCAGGTGGGTTTCACCAGATGGAGCAGAGGGGCAGAGTCCCCTCCCTTGTCCTGCTGCCCACAGTGCTTTGGATGCAGCCCAGGACACGTTTGACTTTCTGGGCTGAGTGCACATTGCTGGCTCATGTCCAGCCTCTCATCCACCAGCACCCCCAAGTCCTCCTCAGCAGGGCTGCTCTGGATCTGTTCATCCCCCTGGACTGATACTGGGGGTGGCCCCGACCCTGCACTTGCTCTTGTTAAACCACATGAGTTTCCCAAGGGCCCAATGCTTGAGCTTGTCCAGGTCCCTCTGGATGATAACCTGTCTTTCAGGAGTGGCAAAAGCACCACTCAGCTTGGTGTCATCTGAAAATTTGCTGAGGGTGCACTTGATGCCTCTGTGTCATTAATGAAGGTATTAAATAACACTGGTCCCAGTACAGATCCTTGAGGGACACCACTTGTTACTAGTCCCTGGTGGGACTCGAAGCCATTCATCACTACCCTCTGGATGTGACCATCCAACCAATTCCTAATCCACCCATGGAATCCATCACTCCAGTTTGGAGAGAAGGATGTTGTGCAGGATCATGTCAAAGGCTTTACAGAAATCTGGATAAATGACATCTGTAGTACTTCCTTATCTGCTGGTGTAGTCATTCCATCATAGCTGGTTGGTCAGGCAGGATTTTCCCTTGGTGAAGCTGTGCTGGCTGTCTTGAATGACCTCCCTGTCCTCCATGTGCCTCAGCACAGCTTCTGGGAGGATCTCTTACATGATCTCTCCAGGCACAGAGGTGAGGATGACAGGCCGGTAGTTCCCAGGGTCATCGTTTCTACCTTTATTTACGATCAATGTGCAGTGTTGATCATACAGTAACGATCAAATGTACAACCTGAAAAATTGGCACAGGGTGCTAGACAGTATTTAAAAAAAAACACCCTGGTATAGCTGATAAGAGCAAAAAAAAAAAAAAAAAAAAAGGTCTTATTGTGACAAGGTTCATTGGATGTTCTTTTTTCTAAGATGAAAAACAAATACAGTAATACACTGTGGCATAATTAACATACATTCTTCCAGTTACTTTTCAAATAAAATGCATTAAAGGACATACGAATTTGGAGCCTTATGTTTGAAATTAATGGTCTTGCATCAAATATTTCCTACCTTAAATGTCCAAAACTTTGCAAAGATTACAGTAAATTAGCACTGGCATGTTTCATTAATTGGTCACTGCAACAAGATGAAATATGGGACTAATTTAATTTATATGGATTAAGAAATGTGTCAGTTTTTCCATTCTGTCTCTCCAGGGCATATTTTTACTGCAAGGCCTGTCATGATGACATCACAGATCCCAAAAGGATAAAAAAATGTGGCTGCAAACGGCGTAAGTAATATTTCTATCCCTCCCTTCCTCTCCTTTTCATGAACTGTTCAGCCCTGAAGAATACCTGTACATGCATTTACATGTTTTACACAGAGGTGCAGAAAAGCTAAGAAATAAATGCACAGCAACATAGTAAGTGCTATTTGAGTTTCTGAAGTCCATACACACCACTCACACCTGTGTCTTCATTAAAAAGTAAATTAAAGTCCAACGCTAACAAAAACTGGAGAATTAAGTGACGCTAAATCTAACTGCTGAGGTTTCTGAATTAAGAATGGGACAACAGTGAAGTTTTTTCTCTCATTTATAACATGCAGGTTCTGCAAAAGAAGAAACTAGGGAATTCTGTTTTATCATATAGCTATTGAAATACTCTTCTGTCGAAATAAATGTGCAGTTTTACTGGAGGAAAGGGTTGTCTGGAAGAAATTAAATATTAGCACCTCTTACATATATCCTTTTAGCTGTAATGCTAATATTAGGTTTAGTTAAGTTCTTAAACTGTTTGGACAGGTTTTAATGAGGAAATAATTGAGTGTTTGAATGGAGATGAGACTTTTTACCTGAATTTCTATAAATATGTAGCAATCAGCATTTTACCCATATATACTTTGAAAGGACCTTTTCCGGGAGCTATCACAACCACACTTCAACCAAAGATGTGTTTGACCCATGCATATTTGTAATACCAATAGTAAAATGATTTAGGAATCAATTTCTCTTTGATTATCTAAATATTTATGTGCTTTCCATGGTATTCTGCCATGAAAAAGATAATTCAGTTTAAAGGTATTGATTAGGTAAATTGAATTATCTCAGAAGAGTTTGATCATGCCTATTTTACCATTACTTTTAAAAGGGAAAAAGCTCTCTTATTTATAGCTTGAGTCTGCAGTATCAGTGCACTGTTACAGAGGATGGAAGAAAGCCTAAGCTGAACATTCTCTACCTTTTTGGAGTACCTGAAATGAATAAAGTCTTGAAGATTATTTTAAAAAGAAAAAAATTTATCGCTGGAGATTTTAAAAAAACTCCTCTCCTCCAAAACACCAAGAGTGTGGAACAATAGTATGATAGGGAGAAAGCAGCTGGAACTGACAGAAAATGGTATTTATCTTCCCAGTAGCCACAAGGAGAGCAAAGCACATGGAAAGCATGCCTGATGTGGAAGGAATGTATGCATTGCCTAACATATTGGAAAAAAATTGTTCAAGAACAGTTTATCCATGTGAGAATGTGACCTTTGAACTGCTGCCAAAGCCAATGAGTCTGCTGAGTAAGTTCTGGTAAAGCCAGTTACAGATGCCTCAGGGTGCCTGTGACTCTCAAATGAAATTTTTTTTTTGAAATTACTCAACAGTTAAAGAGAAATATGTTACCTGCTTAATTTTATCTGGTTCTGTCAGGAAAAAAAAAAAACAACCTCCCCCAAAAAAACCAAAAAAAACCCACCCCTATTTTATTTCTATTTTCTTCTCTACTCCTCCTTCACATGGTGTATGCTTTTTAAACATGTCCTGCTTAAAAAAATAATAAATCCCAAAGATCTCTCAGTTGAACATGAGAACTACACTTTTCATTGTCATCTGCTAGAAGACAGGAATCAGGAACTCGCATTATAATGGTTAAGAGCCCTTTATTATTGTATGTTAATGACAATCGAGGTAACCTTCTCAGTAGTTTGAAAGTAGGGTATGACCCAGCCAACACAATGGATATTACCAGCAGTAAGGCCATGGAGAGGCAACAGTAACAATTTCTGTGAGTAGCAGTTGGAAGGGTTACAAATGGCATGGTCACACATATCAGTCCAATAAATGAAAGGATGTTGGGCAGATGAGCAAACAAAATTATTGAATTAGTGAGGCAGAAGAAGGAGGTGGCTCTCAGAGCTGGTGCAGTGAGCACTGAACACTAAGGAGGGAGTCCTCTGAGTCAGGTGAAGAATAATGGTCAGTGAGAATAACATCTTAAATTTCCCTTTAAACATCTCCCCTCTCCTCTGTCTGCCCTCTCTCCTCCTGTTTCTTAGACACACAAAGGGTCACAGATACCACAAGAGCAGGCAGCCTGTAGTAGAGCTGAGAACAGCTTTCAATGAGGAGCATGCTCACAAGTATTAGAAATAAGACAATTGCTTTTCTTTTAAAGAAAAAATGAAATTAAAAATTTCAATAGTAATTAGTGATTTTTGTTTCTCAAACTTTGTTGACAATTTTGAAATCCCTTTTATGGGACCTGCTTTTTGGATTTGGGTTTGTTTCTAAGGTAAGTCTTTAGTGCAGAATGTTAGCCACATAAAATGTTTTAGCTTTCAAATCACTAATCACTTTTGAAAAAACTTAGCTATGTTATCCATCTGTAAATGATGCAGATCATTGGTCTTAAAAATTCAATTCTAACCAAAACAAAGCATCAATTGAGAAAACTTTCTCCCTATTGAGTTAGAAAACTGTCAACTGTGATGTCAACATGTAATACGTCACTATGCCAATTTGATTCTTGACACTGCATACATATGTATCTATATAGTTCTGTATGACAAATCCATGCTTTAATGAGCAAGTAACATAATAATTAGAGGCAGCTAAATGTGGAAAATGTGTAAGATGAAAAGAAAGGTTGTATATAAAAATATTGACACATTCAGGTGAATTAAATGAGAAAGAAATGGAAAACTTAATTATGGTGGCTCTAATTAATGCAGTTTCCCGTAATGCTTAACTCACATTCTTGAATAATGCATCTGAGGTTCCAGTTCAGTTTAGATATTTTCTGAATATTAGCTTGGGGTACTGGTGGGGTCTAAACGTGAGTCTGACCTACATAGCCATTTGTCCAAACTCGTTAGGCCTAATATTAATAATTCAGGGCAGATCAGTACATTTCTACAAGGCCAAGGATTATTCATGTAATCCTGCTTTCCTTTTGCAGTTTCTTTGCCATCCCTTTCTCCTTACCCATCCCACTCCCTGAATAGCACATAAATGCTGATGGCATATTGTCCAAAGAATTACTTGTGTGGAAATTTTATTCGCAGATTGTTAATTTTTTTTTTTATGTTTTAAATCTCTTTCCTATTCCACTTAACTGTAGTTTTTGCAGCAAGAGGCCAAATATATGTATATATTTATATAAAATGCTACCACGCTGGGATGAAATCTCTAAACTGGATGACCTGTTCCTCCTGTTTCTTTCATTTTGTGCAACAGCTATGGTCTAATTCTCTATATATTTTTTCCAGTGACAGTGCTTGCTGTGAACGGTGGGGGTTGAACCCCAGAGGGGACAAATCATGTGTACATTGATGTGTTTGAAGGAATTTCTTGTAATCTATGACAATTGACAAACTTTTGATTTATTTTTCCTCTTGCTGCCTTGGAACACGGCCCCTACTATATTTTAACTGCACACTGATAGTGATCTATTGTGAGTAAAAATGGGTTCCCTGTAGCCCAGAGTGCGGTCCAACCTGTCTTTCTCTAGCAGAGAGTATTTTTGTTCAGTATTTTGGTTCTTTTCTTTATTTATGTTGCATGTAGCAGTGACGTCATACCCACAAGTTTCTCATTGTTTACACCAATGGAGATTAGGGTGACGTTGAAGAAAATACAGCAGTTTTCACTTCTTCCTATTTGCCCTTTTTTCCTCCACAAGCTTATTTTTATCCCTAAATGAAAATTAGATCTTGGCAATAGTATTTCCTTGAAATTATTCTAGGGATATCTCATGAATTTTTAGGAATATTAGTTAGGCTGGGGTAATTGTCACTATAGCACTCTTTGCCTGGTTAAATACAATTCAGTTGTCAGGTCCCTGTTTAGTTTTTTGGTACTTTGTCCTTTCCATTGCACAGCTGACACAAAGAGTAGCACAGCAGTTTTTTATTGTCCTTATCTAACTTCTTTCTCCCCAATGACAGGGAAAAAAAAAAAGAGTTATGGGAGAAAGCCAGACAATTAATTAAAAGTGTGTTTTTTAATGGATAAACCCAGAGATGCCTTCAACAAGAAACAAGCTGCAGTGATTATTTTCCTGAGCTTGCTGGTTTTGACACTATTTACATAAGTAGACACACACTGACTTTTCAGGGCCTTAGCTGTAAAGTTTAACAGTATTATTATATATTGAATATGAGCTTTATGGACCACTTCATATCAGTCTAGGTCATACCACTTGAAAGTGTGCAGGATCTATAAAGGCTCTCATCAGCCACTTTGTGTGTACACTCATGGTAAATACAGCATTTGGGACATGGAAAGAATTTCCTGCTTAGAAATACAAGTGCTGCAAAGAAATGTGCTGGTTATAGGGCAGTGTTGGAATTATGTGGGCTTGTTCTTTCAAAGAGCAAGGGGGATCAAGTATCTCATAGCTGCAGTGCAGCGTTGCTGTGCCAGACTGAGGCTGTAAATTTACTGTGTAGCTGCAGCTATTCTAAGTGATGGAGGCCATGGAACTTCAACATTTATCAGATATTCTGAACTGATTGTGTAAAAACAGGTCTTAATCAGGATTGAGATATTTTCCCCCCTCTCAGCTCTACACACTGTAGGATCTTGCAAAGAATGAAGGAATAATTTATGCTCTTGATAAAGTTCTGGCCTTCTTGAAATTATGGTGGCATTATGATTAATGCCTGCATTATGATTATCATTATTTACTATTTATTTTATTGTGGTGCCTGCAAACTACACTAAATGATTGAGATCCTGTTGTGGAAGAAAATATTCAAGGACAGAACAGAAATTTCTTCAAACATCTATTTTTAGCTAATAAAATGACACAGCAGACAGATGAAGCAGCAGGAAAAAGAAGATTGTGAAACAGGTCAGCATGATAAGAATCAACATTAAAACAAATTCTATGGATGGAATGGTGAATCCCATTGACTTTTAGGCAAAATACTGGAAGTAATCTGGATTTATCTGAAGCAATGCATTTATTTAAAATATATTCTTATGTTGAGACCTGTCTGAACTAAAGAAATTCATTTAAAT